GCAAGATAATTGACCCGATTTTTAACATATTTTCAAACTATCAACATAAAGCCATAATTTTCCCCTTTGTATTGCTTGCATTGTGATTTGACACTGATGTACATCTTAGATCTTTCTGCTATTTATTTTGGTAACTGTAAAAAGAAACAGTCCAAAACAAATACAAGAATCTGTCAAAGACTGTTCAAGTTGAGAGATGAAAGAGGCAGTTTTTTGACATCTTGTAGATCAAGCAATTAACTGGATTTTTCTCCCTTTTTGCTTACAGTAGTATCTTGGTACGTCCTGCACTTGCTTTGCACACGAATTTTTTTTTTAATTTTCAGGTTAATTCTTGCCAACTTTCCTTATCTTATCTCACCTGCTGAAGGGTGAAATAAGGATTGTTTTATATCTTATGATCTATGTCAACATTTTTAAGATAATATGCAGGGTTTAAACTTTACCTTGATATTTAGTTTTTAAAGTAATGCGTTCTGAATATTGCATTAGACATCCCATTTATTTTATTCTGGGCAAAACAAGACTAAAAAGACATTTCATATATTTGAACCATATGAAACTGCCAGTATTCAATGATTTTTATGCCATAAAAGGGCAATTTTATGTAGCTCCACTTGTAGATTACACTGCTTATCTTCCAAAGTGATATTTTATATTAATTCATTTTTATTTATGTGTGAGACCTACAATGTGGGCTGCTCTCTTCTCTCAGTGATAATGTCATATAAATTGTTGAGTGCTCCTAAGTACCTTGCTTTTCAACTTGAGTGGTAATAAGCAGTTAATTATAAAAATTTTTAAAACTTTGCAAAAAACATAAAGACAAGTTAGTACATTTTAAATATGGACAACTACAGGGAATTTATTAAAACTCAAAGTTTCTTATGCAGCTTTAGAAGAAAATATAAAGGATCAAAACTAGTAAATATAATAAATATCTCTGATTTGTCTTTGCACTGCCTTTTAAACTTGGATTTTGAATATTTTTTAAATGCTAGATTCACAATGCCTTGTAATAAATTATAAACCTTATAATGATTCTGTGATTTAAGAGTATGAAAACTGCCATGCTATTCATCCCAAAATATCCATTACCATAACATACCCAACTGTGTGGTATTCCAAAGCCATAAAGACTATTGAAAACAAGTGCTTAGTGCTCGCTTCAGCAGCACATATACTGAAAACAAGTGCTTAAACTGACAGAGACATCTTCCTGGTCAAGATACTCTACTGGATTCCATGTTATGTTTCTACATTTGCTAAACAGTGTTAAAGGTCCCATTTATATCTTCTCAAGTCTTCTTTAAGTACACGGAAGGAATTTAATGTTTTTAAAATGTATTTCATAAGTTTAGCTTTCCTTTATTTGCAAATAAGCAAAAGTAGGTCATTGCATGTTAATTTATAAACTAGATGTCTACTTTAACAGAAGCTAGTAGCTACACAAATGAGAGAAATTGAAATTTTTTGGGAAAAAGTACAGTTCTTACCTCATGCTTATGTTTATAATTCAGTTTTACTTCTGTAATTCCTTATTATGTCTCCTCCTTTAGATTGCAAATAACATAAACGTAGTGGCCATGTTTGCTTTATTTTTGTATGTATGTACCTGTGTATTCCTCCATGTAGCACTTGAGATGCTTATGTATATACACAATAAATAGGTATATATGTAATGTATGCAGGTAAAGCACACATGTACATGCAATATGTCTGTTCATGATGGGCTACTAGTACACTATATGGTAGTAGTATAGTATAATATAGTAGCTAGTATAATAACTACTTGTTGAATTAATGAATGGGTAGAATTTAAAATCTAGTATATGAGCATTTATCGGATGCTTTATCTCTTCAACAATAAATGCCCATCAACACCATAACATAAGTCTTTTTTAGAATAAATTCTCCACTTTTCAGCTTCTACATACCTTCTGAGTCATTATCTCGAATATCTCATAGGCCTTCTTTGATAGATATCTAACAAAGAGTAAGTCTAAAACTTTCACCCATCTTTCCTCCATGTCTATTCTTTGATTTTAACCAGGTGTAACTTTTTTTTTTCTTTTCTTTTTTGTTTTTTTTTCCGGTACTGAGAATCAAACTCAGGACCTCGCGCTTGCCAGGCAGGCGCTGTGCCGCTGAGCTAAATCCCCAGCCCCAACCAGGTGTCACCATAAGACAATATATAAATGTTGAGAGTCAGTACATGAAGCAATGTGTTTGGCACTAAGAATACAGAAAACTTTGCTTAACTGGGAGACAGAAATTTGAACAAGTAATCGAATGTACAGAGGCAAGGCCAATAGGAGTGTATATAATGTGTTGGGAAAGTTTGAAGAGGAAGGCTACGCTTCAGGAATAATTAAGACATGAGAGTAGGAACACAGTGTCACAGCAATTTCAACTTGAAACCTGAATGAAGACTAAAATGTCAGGAGGAATATCCATTATAGACCAAGGAAACAAAGTGTAACCAAGTGGTCTCCCTGCCACTCCCTTCAGCTACCTCGGCAACTGCGACCAGGTGACAATACAACAACCAAAGTGCACTGGGCCTCAAGAGTTCATGATTTCTTCTGGCTTAAACTTTTACTCAACTCCCACTATAAAATCCAAACTTTTTTGATCTGATACAAAAGCCCCTTCATGATCAAACTGACCACTTCAGTTGCATTAGACAATTTCTAACATGTTTGTGAATACATTTGAGAGCCCATGACTACATCTTTTTCCCTTAAATCATTTTCACAATTTTTAGAGACTGAACTCAATTATTGGTTTGCCTCTTGACACCAAGGTCTACTTGTTGGTAATTATTTTTCTTATCTCTGCTCCACTTTTGGAGGGCCACAAATACACGTAATAGTGAAAACTGTTACATAATTTTGGTACATTTAAATGGTTTTCTTATTAAGTACATTAATATTTGCTTTGTCAACTATTGTTAACTCTTTAAAATCAGAGGATCACATTATTGAAAGGACTTTAGGAATATCTAAGACAGTGATTTAAAAAATATTTTTGAACAGTATCCAGTGAAAACAGTAAGAGATGTTCTACATCACAGCATGGTATAGGCAAAATCTCATATAAATGAAACATTTTCATGATATAATACTACTTAAAATGCAATAAAAACACAATCAAAATAAAACATTATTTCATTACTACTTAAATACAACAAAGAAAATCAATAATGCCTAAGTAAACCATTGAAGCAAAAATAGCCTCTTTCTATCCTGAAAAATGGTTTCAAGGTGCAATAATGACAATAAAATCTCTTCCCTACTTATTTTGCTATAAACTCTCTCCATACTGTATAGGTAAAAGGGAAATCTTCAGAGGTGACTTTTCCAAACAAATGAGTGTGAACCTAGGTTTAGGACACATCCAACTATCATGCTGGTTCTTTTTCTATTTCACCAAAATGACAAAGGTACAACTTCTGCTCATAAGCTATAACATATCTGATGCATTTCCGCTTCCAGATCCAGATCTCTTGGGCCAAATCCCTTTACTAATGAATGTAATGAACATGCTACCCACCTCTTGTCTTTATGCACAACCCATATTTTTGCCTGGAATCTGATTATAAAGGATACTTACAGTCCTCAAATCTTTACACCCTGAGTAAAAATTGATGAAGTTTTGATATAAAAATTGAATGCACATAATGATACTTTCAGAGTAGAGAAATGAGTGAATACAGAGGATGCTGTAAATTGGGAAGAGGAGAACAGGGCTGGTAGAAAAGCCATATCATAAAATTCTGCAATAAATGATTACAAAGAAACTTCAAGTTTCTTGCTGAATTTTTAATACTGATATTATTAACGCATCATATTTATCTGAATGTTTGTTAAACATAAAGTAAGTTTTCCCCTACTGTACATTTTATCTCATTCTGTCCTTATCTTGTGTTCTTGGATAGAATAAGATAAAGTATACTTTCTGGCATTTAATAGAAGTGCAGATAGTATGTTATGTCTTGCTGTCATAAAAGGATCTGTGAGGGGAAGCTTTTGGTGTGAAATGGACAGTTTTCCTCAAGCTCTCGCTGTGACTAGAAAGTAATTAGGGAGGGTGAGAACACTCATCATTTAAGAGTGGCAGAGCCTACAGTCTTAAAGTAATTAATTTAAGGCAGACTCAGATGCCTGAATAACTACAATCATCATAAAATCATAAGTCTGAAACAACAGTCAGTAGAAAATATTTGAGAAATTTGCATCCATAGGGAGATTAAGAAGTGCTTTGAGAAGTGAATGCAGACTATGGAGTTTAACTGAAATTAATTATTATTCATTTCTAGTTCTATGTAACCATAACTTGAGTATTACCTTACTATAAACAGATGTATAAATTTATTTATCTTAAGTTCATTAACAGGTAAAATAATTTTGGACTTCAGTTATGACAAACCACATGGAATCGAAATTTTGTTAATGTAATAATTATTTACATATGAGGATTGCAATTTTTATTATTTTATTTATGTGATACACATAATAATCCCACTCTAACACTAATTGCTAACAATGGGATTTATTTAGAGTTAAACAAATAACAATTCTCATAGATTCTCCTCTTCAATTTGTATTTTATTGTCCCAATATACACTGCAATAAGTAACATAATTCACACCATGTTATTGAATTTACTAAAAAAAATCAAATGAACCATCTTAAACATTGTATTCTTCAGAGAATAGAGTTTTCTAATGTTTAAATATAATATAGTTAATCACTGCTATATCATTTCTATTTCTGTTATTTAGAAAGAAAAGACTACATTGGCTTCTTTTGTTTTAAAAATGTTTACATTCAAAAGCAACAAAATAAAACACAAAACACCATAACACCATAACACTATAACACACATGAAGAGCTTTTTAAAGTAATCTTTACCGGGCAGCATCTGCATAGCCTGTCTCAGGCGCTGTAAACCTGGTCCCCACGGGAAACTCTTACTATGAAAAGCTGTGTACTTACGCATACATCATGGACCAAGGACTGGGGCTGCTTCTATTGTCACCACCTGATCTGTATCAGCTGGGGCAAGGCTGGAGGGTGGAAAATAAAGACAGTCACTGGCAATAATAAAAGGACAAGTCTGACAGGTTTAATGACTGCGCTTTGCAGTCATGATATGGCCCGATAAGAACACGATCAATTTTGTGCGAGCCATTTCCACACAGCTAAGTAATTGCCAATACCTGCATAAAGAAGCTCCGAGCAATAGAGGCTGACAACCTGCCACAGGGGATGACTCAGAGGGCCACACTCTTCCTGTTGGGGAGGTATGCTCAGCATTGAGGTGAGGCTCCAGTTTGTTTAGGGACACACACACACACACACACACACACACTCACACACACAAAACCAAGGGGGAAAAAAACCCTAGCATGTACCGATGATGCTCCTTCCTCAACAGAACTATAGTAATGCACCTCTTGCTTCCTCCTTGGGACTGTTTGTGTCTTCCCTTTGAGGGAATCATGCAGTGTGGAGAAGCAGAGGAGCCCTGAGCTCTGGACCTGGGACCTGTTTCTGCCACCTTGGCAGAGTGACTATAAGTAAGATGTGTAGATTTTTGGAACTTTCCTTGTAATAAAAGGAAAATTTCATTAATTTTTAAAAATATTGTCCATTTTAGCTCTAAAATGGAGAATAGATTTTGCTGAAAAAATATATTTACCCCCAAAAGGCAAACAAGCAAACAGAAAGTAAAACAAAACCTCTTTTTCCTTTCTTACTATCAGGAATGGTTTAGTCTGTCTTAGTGGTGAAGTCCCCAGTATTTATAAACAGTCTTTCTTATATACTTGCATACGTCCTCAGACATTTGGGTCTTCAAACATGAATGTCTAATAAAGATCAGTAAAATCACAGGTGAGACACTACAATTTTAAAAGTTACGTTCAAAGTCTCAGTGCTAGAAAATATTAAAGGAGTAAATAGCTATAAATATACTCTTCTACTGTTCATACAGAATAATTTTACTTAAAGTACCACAAAAACAATGAGTCCAATCTTAATACTGTCATTATCATTATTAAGATAATTTCCCAGTCACGTGACAAATGGAAACATGGGGCACAGTATTTGTTTGTATAATCATTAATCATTGTTTGCAAATCACACACAACAATGAAATTTTGAGTAGAAATAAAAATTCCCGAGTAAATAATTTACAAAGCTTACCAAACACTTTATGATAAAAAGTATACTTGTTTTAGAGAAAGTAACTTTGGATCATTGATTTTTTTCACTACTCTCCTCTCAGAGAATTTAATCAGGTGTCTCAAACTCAACCAATATCTGTACCTTCAAACCGCTCTGCCTCACCCCATAGAACTATCCTATGTCCTGACAATGTGGATTACAATTTCTAAAGTTAACTGTCACTCAGTCTTCAACTTCTTTCCCCAGCTCTACGCAATTCTTTTGACAACTGTTCCTTCAACTTGTTTCTTGAGTTCATACATTGCTGAGCCTGCCTTAAACTGTAAGAAGTGTTCTAGATGAACTCCATCATCATTTTTCTCCTTCAAACTAATTAAAAATTAGTTGCTTATATCTGTAGCTTTTATTATATGACCATTAAAAATAACTTAATGGCTCTTTACTTTCTACTTCATCAAAAATTGGCTGAATGAAATTCAGAATCCTATAGGTATCAAGTCTATCTATGATACATCAGATGATGTGCTTTTGACTCTTATTAAGCTTCAATAGCTTTGAAATATGTACCACTCATACTAACTTTGTAAGTTCTGTTATCACAGATTCCCTCCCTTTGGGGAATTCTCTATTATTTTCTCTCATTTAAATATGACTGTAAAATCTCAGTCTAATTACCACTGTGTGAATGAAATCTCTATCAGATTAGGTAACAGTTTAAGGAGCAGCTCCTGGGTAAAGACTGCTTGAACCCAGATCCTTGTTCTACCCCTAACTTTGTGATCTTAGGTAAATCATATAATCTTCCAGTGCCTTAGTTTGTTCATTTGTAACAGAAAGATGAAAATAGCATATATCTTTTAGAATGTTTGTTACAAATGAAACGATGGGTGTAGATTGCTTGCAATATTATCTACCAAATGTACCCACTCAATAAAAATTATATCACCGTCATTACTGGTTTTATAATGGTGACAGATTATTTCAGAACTCGTAGCCTCTCCTCTGGTAGATATTTCTATCACATAATCAATGACTCAAGTTAGATCTTGAGTCACTGATTGAAAAATGGCTAATGAAATTCAAGTGTGCTACTTGCTATTATCTCACATATTCTAGTTTTGTCTCTTTAACTCCATTTAAAATCCTAAAGAGCAGAAACTGAATCCCGTGGTTTCTTACTTGTCATTTAATGTCACGTATAGGCCCATAATAGGTACTCAGCAAAGACAGGCTGATTTGTCCTATTGTGTTTCAATTCATATTTATCCTATATATAAATTCTAAAAGTTGGAACTATGATTTGTTCCTTCTCTTTACCTTGACATGGAAGTAAAAAAGAAATTCCATACATAAAAATTGCATTAGTAGCTTTCCAGAGCTCTTCCAGAGTTACTTTTTCCAGAAGCCTTATAAAGGAATTTTTTATAAGATTCCTTTTTCATCACTTAGGAAAAATTTCCTATACTTAAAAGAAAATAGGGATAGTCATTTACTGTAATAACTTCCTTATTTTATGGTGGCTGATTTAAATTTTTGTAGTAGATCATCTAAAGATTCATAACTTGATAAAAGAGACTGACTCTAGTGTGTAATAACTTGGACTGCCACTGCTCCATAAAGCAATGGCTGGATGCAGGTGTTGTGGAACTATGCTATTCTGCATTCAGGAAATAAGGTGGCATATTATCTATGAAGAATTAAAAACATAAGGAAACTTACTAAAGTTGGTGTGGTTGTTATTATTACTACACGCTGGCAATGCTAAACAGAATCACTGGTAAAACATTCCTTCCTGATGGAGGTAGACATTCCGTCAGACATCCACCTCCCCGTACCCTGCAACACTGCTCTCCAGCTTTCCTCTGGGAATGAACTTTTCCTTTCTCAGTATGGTGTTTTGACACATCCTGCTGCAGCTTTACTTTTTACTCTATTCCACAATAAAAAATAAAATTACATCACAGCACAATATGCACATAATTATACCAATATATGTTTCACAAAACAATCATATATGTTTCTGACAAGTTATGGCATTGATTTTGAAAACCATTTCTGTGCTTTGATCCCTAGTCATCCAAATGGGAATTACCAAGAAATATTTATAGAATTAGTTCATTGGATCACTAGGCTCTTGTGTAATTCAAAATTGAAACTGACTAAACCTTGACATTAAGGTGAAAATAAAGGAAGGTACTGATTAACTTTCCTTGGTCTCCCATGCTGCAGGCACAGATAGCAGGAATAACAAAAGATGAATGCCAATCTTAGACTGAGGAGTGGGTAGTACCCAAAGGCTCTCCTCCACCTTTGGAGTTTCCATTTTCAAGACTGGTCCTGGCCTGAGCACCATTTCTCAATTTCTTCTCAACTCCTGTTTTCTATCAGTGATATACCTGTTAGTCCCATTGAATTCTGGCCTTTTGGGTTTTTTTGGTATCAGGAACCCAACTCGTGATCTCATGCTTGCCAGGCAGGCACTGTGCCACTGAGCGGTATCACTGGCCCCTGGCCAAGTTTTATTTAATTCCAAATTCACCTAACACTGTGATCATTAATTTCTTCTTTCCTGAACCATGGGTTTTGTGTCATTCATCTCCAGTGAGTGTACTAATTTCTTAGTTACTGCTCTATCTATGCATAACTCAGATACCTGTGGGATGCCTATAGCTCATGAATGAAATTAATCATGATGCAAATTTTCTGGACAGTACTTCCTTATAAAAGCTATAGTTAGATTCTCAATTAGTAGTATGATAAAGAATTTATCTTAATGACATATATGAGATATTACAAGGCATTTTCATCTACTCTTTGATTTAGGACAGAGACTGATTTTAAACAGGGACTTAATCATTATTAACACAACTTTCTAAATTTTATTAGGACAACTAAAACTTACAAATATGCTTAGGTAAAGAGGAAGATTGATTCTTAGTTCTCCATAAAGTGACAGTTATTTTATATCAAATGATGACCTAGAACCTGTTTCTGAAGGTACTGTAGGTACTGATTAAATATACACTTTTTCCTAACCAATGTTAATTTATGCTATTTCCTCTAAATCATTTTATTATTAAAATAAAGAATTTTAATAATATTTATAGCTTTTTCTTACAAGTTTTAAAAGTGTTTATACGACATGAGAAAATAATTTATTATAAAAAGACATTGAGCTACTGAAGTCTGGTAAATAAATAACTAAAAATTATAGGCAATGTGATTTCTTCATAGAAAATCCAAGCTAAGAGGAAAGCTACTAAAGTCATAAAATAGTTCATTGTAACTTCATACAAAATATAAATATAACAAATTTAATCTATTATTCAACTGTAACCACTGACAAAATCATCTCACAAGAACAAAAATAATATCATATTTGAGTAAAAGCTTTAAAAATGTGAAACCCATATGGAGAAAAATTATATTCATTTTAAAGAGAAAATAAAGTATGTAGAAAAACTATTACAAAAGGGAAATATTTATGCAAGGCTAAATATTTTTATTGTTTATTGGTAAAATTTAGATATATATAATGATCACATTCATCATAGGGAATTTGTAACTGTACATGATATATCTTGGTTTCTCTTTTTTCCCCCATTCCTGTCCTCTTTTAACCCCTCTACCTGCCTTATTTACAAAAGCTGTGTTTTAGTGTTATCCTTCTTTTCTCATGTTTTTCCTTTCCTTTCCTTCCTTTCCCTCAGCCCCCTCCCAGTTTCTTTCTGTATCACAAATCCATTGTACACTTAAGTTCTTATTTACAATTTCAGCTGCTCACACTAGAAAGAGGATGTGATATTTCATGTGTGTCCGATTTGTTTCATGTGAGAGTATGGTCTCAAGATGCATCCATTTACCTAAAAATGTCTGT